CTCTTCTCTGGCCCAAATCACCCACTGTCCTTACCACTCTTACTACAATATGGTCTCTAAACTAGTCATTCTCAACCTGGGGCAAATTTGACTCCCAGGGTACACGTGACACTGTCTGGAGACATTTTTGGCTGTTAAAACTAGTAGGGAGCATTATTGGCAGCAATGGGCTGTGGCCTAGGATGTTGGTAAGGGTGCTACAAGGCACAGGACAGCCCCCACAACAAAGAATTATCTGGCCCAAAAGGTCTAAAGAACCAAGGCTGAGAAACCTGCTCTAGAAAGATCATTATCCAGGTCACTCTGCTCTGCATATGCTATGGCTTGTCATATAAAGCATAGTGCCCAACATGCAGTACCTACAGGGATAGGACCTGAAGGAGCATAGAACATGGGGGGATCCTTTCTCACTATGACAACAGGATCGACTGTAGCAGCTGAAGCATCCACAACACACGCCCCCCTCCCCTCCAGTCTGTGGTCAGGGAAAAGCTATGAATCCTATTGAAACAAACTGGTCTCAAGCAGATGACTAAGAAACAAAAACAAAGACATAAAAACACAAATGCATATCTAGAAGGAGGTGGAGTTCCCTCCAAGCATCTCCACAATATTTTCAACATGAAAAACTGAATCAAATTTATTTCAGTTTTCCCTACAGACATAATTATAGATCTTCTGTACTAAATTTTTGTCACCTGAAATTATGATAAAATGCCTTTTAAAATTTTTATCCAGGCCACTCCCAAAAACATCAGACAGGACAGACTAATGTTGATCCATTTCTTAACACTTTTTTGGTAAGGTTGTATTGACTAGTCCATTTAACTGTAGCTTACATTTATTTACTTGATTAAGGAAACACCAGTTTTCTGGTGTTTCTTTTACTACAAAGTCCTACCAAACCTTCAAGAAATAGGTTAATTCCTATTTTATTCAAACTGTTCTAGAAAATGGGAGTGGGGGAGAAGATGGAGCCACCCTTCAGCTTATTTTATAAAGCTAGTATAATCCTAAAACCAAAACCTTTCAAATATAGTCCATGAAAAGAAAACTACGGAAAATAATCTCATTAATGAACACGGATGCAAAAGTCCTTTAAAAATTACTAAACTGAATCTAGCTTTGAATTTTATATTTTATAAAGTGACTGAGTTTTGGTTATTCCAGGAATGTAGGATGTTTTAACAGAAAATCTATTAATGTAACTCACTACATTAGTAGATTGAAGAGGTGGGAAGGAGTCAGGAATGGACCACAAGCACACAGAGAAATGTTCTTATTCTTGAGTAGCTTTTTCTGTGTAATAAAACCCACAAAATTTCTGTGACATAAAATAAGCATTTATTTTTTTATACCTCTTGGGGTAAGCTAGGGTCAGCTATTTGAGGTTGGGCTCAGCTGGGCACCTCAGCTTTAAACTGCAGGTCTGTATGTCAGCTGGGTGACTATATATCCACCTGACTCTCATTATTCTTAGACCAGCTGGCTAGCCGTTACAAGTTCAACTCATGGCAGTACAGAGTATTAAGAGGGTGCATTCAATAAGACAAAGATGCTTCAAGCCTCTGCTTGCATAAATTTGCCATTATTCTATTGGCCAAAGCAACCTGTGTGGCTGAGTTCAAAGTCAAGGAATGGGAAAGTATACTCTGCCTTTTATGGCACAGATGCAAAAAATGAAGTATTGAGGCCCAAGACTTAATATATCACAGGGCATGTGAATATTTTATTCCTTTTAATGTACAAATATGATATATATGTGTAAATATACCAATTGGCCCCACGTGTGTGTGTATACACATACATATACACTAAATTTATTATGTACAAACTATTTTATAATAAAAATTAAATTCACACATTAAGCACACTTTGGGACCTTTCTTATTGACTTCCTTTATAATCTTATCCAAAAAGAAAATATAAGTTATTAATGCAGCAGGAATTGTTCTTCATCTCTTTCACCATAACTTTTCATTCTTTCGACCTTTTCCAGAAAAGGATTTAAAGAGGTTTTACAAAGTTCTGAGACAAAATCAACGTATAATAAATCAGAAGACAAGGCAAAGGGAAAATCAGGTTACCAAAGCAAGATGGGCCTGGAATGGCATTAGTACTTGGCTGGATAGTCTCCATTTGCTCCTTCTGATCCTTTTTCCCTCCTTCCCTACCTGGTCTGTCCTCCTTGAAGGGCTCCCCTTTCTTGGGCTTTTCCTATAGTACAGGTCTCAAGGGGTCTGATGACCACTGTGTCCTCTTGTTGCTTGAAGCCCAGAGGCTGGTAACACTTCCTGTGAACCATCCCTGACTGGCTTCCTTAATCATGTCACACCTCTGTAATAACTCCTTCATGAAACTCTCCCTACTTAATCTGTTTGGAAGTGTTATTTTTCCTGCCAGGGACCCTGATTACAAGAGCCCACAAATTACATGTCTTAAGTGTAAATACCCACTAGAAGTAGACCATAAATATAGCTCTAAGGTCTCAGAATGATTATCAAGTGGGAAACACAATCAATAAAAGAACCTCCAGTCTCTCGAGAGAAGCAGGCCTACTCCAGACACCAAGATGGGCAAGAAATTTTCTCTGTGGTTTCTCTATCAAAGGTCATTGTGTTATAATGACCCCATTCTTTTCTGTCTTACAAACCATCTCTATTCAGGGCTCAGTCCTCCAATATCTTTCCTCCTTATCCACATTCACGTTCTATTTGATCTCTTCTAGTTTTATGGCTTTAAATATCATACATGTGGATGATTCCCAATATGTTTCTCCAGTCCTGACTTTTCCCTGAACTCATTTTCACCATCCAATTGCCTACACTGGATATCCAACCAGCATCTCAAACAAGCATCTTGGCATGTCAAAAACAAAGCTCTCCATGTTCATCCCATACTCCTCCCTTCCTAGTCTCCCCTCATTTCAGTAGAGGGTCCCAGCACCATTCCCTTGGTTGCTCAGCGTATGTGGTCAGGAGGGAGAGAGAATGGCAGAAATCTATCATGCTTGGTTCCTTTTTTGCACATTCCACATCCAATCAATCCACACATTATGTGGCTCAGCTCTTCAAAATATATTCAGAATCTGACCACCCCCATTACCACTACTGTAGCCCAAACAGCCAGTCTCTCTTGTCCTACTGTGCTCCGAACTGGTTTTCCTTCTTCTACCCTTGCACTCTTCCAGGACCCCATCTGAAGCAGCCTGTGTACTCCTTTAAAAATGTCATGTCATGGGGCGCCTGGGTGGCGCAGTCGGTTGAGCGTCCGACTTCAGCCAGGTCACGATCTCGCGGTCCGTGAGTTCGAGCCCCGCGTCAGGCTCTGGGCTTGATGGCTCAGAGCCTGGAGCCTGTTTCCGATTCTGTGTCTCCCTCTCTCTCTGCCCCTCCCCCATTCATGCTCTGTCTCTCTCTGTCCCAAAAATAAATAAATGTTGAAAAAAAAAATTAAAAAAAAAAAAATGTCATGTCATGTCATCTCCTATTCAAAATCTTCCAATCACTACCATCACACTCAGAATGCAATACAAAGTATTCACGTTGGCCTATAGGGCCTCACATCTGGATATCTGTGAGTATTTATTTTCTACTATTTTCTTCCCTCTGCACTGGTTACACTGGCCTCCCTGATGTTCTATGAGCAAGTCAAGAGTACACTTAAGGTCTCAGAACCTTCGCACTTGCTGTTTCCCATCACTGAAACATTCTTTTCCAGATACCTGCATGCCTCACTCATTTCACTTAGGTCTCTGTGGGAATGGCAATTCCTCAGAGAAGTCTTCCCTGGTCATCAGCTGTAAATAGTCCCACCATCTCTATTCCTTACTTTATTTTTCTTCATAGCACTAGTCAGTATCTGACATTACATTAAATATAAATATGTTGTTACGCTTTTGTCTATTTAGAATGTAAGTAAGTGCTAATAAAACGGATGTATTTCATTCATCCCAGCATCTCTAGTGCCAGACACAACACTTGACACACAGCACGGTCTTGATAAATATTTGTTAAATGAATGAGACTCCATTCTACTTCATCTAGTTTCTTGACTCAAAAACTCAGCAAGATCCAAGAAATACTTGAGTCTCAATTATGTGAGTGGCACTTCGCTAGATGCTTAGAGCTTTAAAAATCTAACAGACACCTGAGTCTTTTGGGTGAATAGTGATTGGGAGAGGGGATAAGGGGCTCCTCAGTGTACTAGAAACGTTCTTTTTCTAGATAGTACAATACTTACAGAGGTGTATTCATAATTACAAACCTATTGAGCCCCACACTTAAGATTTGTGTATTTTAAGTTGCACACCGATAAAAGTGTTTTTTTCTTAAGTCTCTGACCTATCTAGACACATCGAGAGGTAGTTTGCATTGTGGTAAAAGCAGTGACAATGATCTGTATGGCCTGCCTGTCTGCTATGTTAGAGGTGAGTCACCTCCAAGTGCTAAGATGGGCGTATCAAAAGGAAAAGGGGAGACTATACTGTGTTCCTTTTGGCACCAGAACCTCCCAGATATGATGGGCCTTCTCTAATGCCCTGGGACCACCTTTTGAAACTGGCCTGCAATACTAGCGCCTAACTGCTAAAGGGATGTTCCCTTTAGATCCCTGAAGTGAGATGGAGCACTGGAGGACTTTCCTCGGAAGAGCCCGCGGAAGAGAGGGGGCCAATGGAACAGTCTTTATGCTTTAAAAAAAAATTTTTTTTTAAGTTTTTATTTAAGTAATCTCTAACTCAAGGTGGGTCTTGAACTCTAACCCTGAGATCAAGAGTCGCATGCTCTTCCGACTAGGCCAGCTAGGCGCCCCTCTGCTTTGGATGCTTAGCCATTTGCCCTGAGAGGCTGACACTCCGTCCACTAGCGTTTAGAGGGCATTATTAGCTGTACATTCAGCCCAACGAACGTCACAAACACTGGTACTCGCGGAGTCCCTGGCCCCCAGCACGCACGCGCGGCACAGAGTCGCCGCTACGCAGGCGCACTGCGGCCAGGCGCCGGGCAAAGCGGAGGGCAGGAGCCCGGCCGGCGGGTGCGCGCTCCGGGGCGCGCGGGGAGCGAGGCGCGCGCCATGGAACAGCGGTTAGCCGAGTTCCGAGAGGCCAGGAAACGGGCAGGGCTGGCGGCCGAACCCAACACTTCGAGCCGGAGTGCACAAACCTCAGGGAAGAAGGCGGAAGCAGCTGCGACTCCAAAGGCAGCTCCAGGCTGGCTAAAACGGTTCCTGGTGTGGAAACCGAGGCCCGCGAATATCCGGGCCCAGCCCAGCCTCGCTCAGGTGAGAGGAAGGCCTCGCCCCCCGGGACCTAGCTTCAGGGACGCTGTCGTGTCCACCCAGTAAAATCCGGCTGAGGCCACACCCACTGCCCGCCCATCGCGTGGCGGCCTTCAGGCCACGCCCCCACCGAGGAGCCGTCCCCGCCCACCACGCGAAGGAGCGGGTGTCCAGTCCCCTCCTCTGGTTCCCACCTTCGCTGGCGGGGCGGGGCTGCCGGCGCCTCCCGACTGTTGAGGGCCGGAGCCTGGTATCTCGGGCCACACGTGTCTGCACTGATCCTTCGCTTTGACATTTTCTTTCCAGCCCGCGACCCACGCAGATCCTGATTCCGGTCGGGAAGCGATGGTCTAGGGTCCTGGAAGAAAACACCTCTGCCCTTGAGTTACAGCGCGTTGAGTTATTGTGATGCCCTGTAGCCTCCGGGAACTTCTCCATCACCGCTTTCAGCTGCAGCCCTCCGCTAATGGAGGGTAAAGGTCTAATTGGATACTGCTAAAAAGTGGCAGTAATGAAGGCTTCCTTTCATTTCGCACCTGGGACACATGCAGCCAGTAACCCAGAAAGCCTGTGCTTTAGAAATAGCATTTGAATACAAACGTGCAAAAGTGTGGTTTGTGTAACTGCCAGAGGCCGCAGATGCTTGTGCACACCTCTATTAACTAGGGAAACTTACTCAAGTTCTCTGGTGAATGTTCAGGTGAAAGCATTATTCAGATTAGTATGATAGCCTTTCCACCCTTTGATTCTTTAGTATTCTGTTAATGTTCAGATGAACTTGGTATTTTCATTTCACATCTTGTATTTTCATTTCGTTTTCACTCAGGAGTAGAGTGGCAAGGTGCCCTGTGTGGGAGATTGGATTATCTATGTTGGAATACAGGACACAACATGGAGGAAAAATAGGTGCCTTGAGACAATCTGTGACAAAGCCTTCCTATCTCAAAAGTGTAATAGCCAAAAAATTCCTTTCGAAAATGAAAATGTATTGGAGCAGAAATGTACCTTACTCCTCTTAAAATTATTTCTCTTAGTTCATTTATTATTGCACAACATCTGGTTTTAGGCAATTTTTTTAAACCAAGGAGAACTTATGGTTACTCAGTTTTGATTAGATACTATTCTCCGTAACACGCAGGGTTCCATCAGACTTGCAGAAAGAGAGTGCAGCAGGGTTCAGACAATCTGTTTCCTTGCACGCGGTTTATCTCAGGATAAGTTCATTGTTGATTAGAACTCACTGAGCACAATTGGTTAAGATTTTAGAATCTACTTCCCTTACCCTTTTTCCTCTCCACAGTTAAAAAACAATGTCTAGCCCACACAATGAGTTTTTGCCTGTGTGTCTCATTTCCAAAGGAGTATGAGATCATTGAATTGGACCCAGAGAAGCTGAACTTGGAGAAAGTTTCCATTATTAAAAACCTAAAAGCTGATGTCCCGACAAAAGGATGACAGGAAATGCTGGATCTCCAGTTGTTCTTATTAATTACTCTGTTTTTCATAAGGGACTCTGTCTTAAGCTCATTTTCATTGGCTCAGTTATCATTCGTGGGTTTGCTCTGGTGTGAAAATTCTCATTAAATTGTTTTTTTCTTTCTCCCAATTTACAATCCATCTCTCTTAATCATTTTGGAGACACACAGTGGCTTGTCAGAAATTTCTCTAGCCTTCTTTTTGTAATTGCTTCTTGGTTGTCATTGATAAGGAAGCATCCATATCCTCCTTCCTCCACTCTCGAATTTAGCTTGAAGAAAGCAGTCCCCAAGATCAAACATTTCTTTCTGTGACAAGCTTGTTCCACATTGGGGCCAAAATGCTTGTGACTTTTTTCAACCCCACAGAAGCCCCCTGTCTCCCTGCCCAGGCATACCCTGCAGCAGTCCCCGGCACCTTCTAGCCCCAAGGTATCCTCTCTCATCCTGTGACTCTGCCCCTCCAGCCTTGGCTCAGGCTGACCCACTGCTCAAATGCTCTCCTTTGGAGTCACCTGGCTAAACACAGCCTTTGCATCACTCCCTCAAACCCAGGAATCACCTTTTAATTTCTTCTCTTTCCTTGCCATCATTCATTCATTCATTTATTCAGCAAAATTATATCCTGTGCCCAGTCTGTTCCAGCTACTGTCCCGAATCTGGGAAACAGTGGGATAAAGGCAGATGAAGCCCTGTTCTCACAGAACTTGCATTTGGGGCAGCAGATGATAAACAAAAGAGCTGAATGATGAATGCTATGAAAGGGGGGGAAGAACAGGATGCTATGATAGTGAACTGGGGGTGAGAGGTGCAGAGTGCTACTTTAAATTGGGTGGGCAGGGAGGACCTCCCTGAGGAAATGGCGTTTCATAAGAAGAAGCCACTCTTCGAGAAACCCAGGACAAGGACAAGGGCACATGTGGTCACATTTTTGCTGAGATTTGTAGGAGAGGAGGGAACCATCCAGGTGATGTGAGGGGAAGGGGGCATTCCTCTCAAAAGGAACCATAGGTGCAAAGGCCCTGAGGTGGTAAGCAGCTTGGTATTTGAGAAATGGAAGTATTTGCCCTAAACTATGCCTCTATGTGCTGTGACGACCACAAACGCTTCCATACACGGCTTTTATAGCAGAAGTCACACTGGTCCTAAAGCAAATGCCAAAGGAGGTAGAGGAATTTCTATATCTCTCCTCTTGTTTGTTCCCTTTGCCAGTTGGTTTGACCCATTCCCCCATCTCCTAGCTCTCTAACCCTTCCCTTTACCATTCCTCATAAAGGCCCCTAATTAAGTACAAAGAGCTTTGGAGGGAGGCTGTGCTGGGATCCTACACCAGTCTCCTCTCTATCACTAGCTGTGTGACTCTAGGGGAGTTACTTAACATCTCAGTGTTTCCCTATCAGTAAATTGAGATTAACAGTGCTTATCTCCTGATTATGGGAGATGGGGCATCTCAAAGGTGTGCTATAAATCGTGGCCATAAGCATTATTCTTTTTATACTCCTTCAATGATAAATTCAGTTTACAGTAAATTTCAAGTTGTACACATTCAAAATGTATTCTGCATCCTTCAGTCAGTCATTTCTCTCTGACTTCTGTGTCACCACCCTAGTTATGCCTGGCCCTTCTCTCTCACTGAGCCTCCTGCGTGAGCTACTCACAAATTCCCTGCTTCTAGCCTTGTAGCCCATTCTCTACCTGTCAGCCAGAGTAGTCTTAAATATAAATCAGATTATATTAGTTCCCTGCTGAGACTTTCAGTGATTTCTCTATTGTGCACACTGGTCAAATCTGAAAGGGACATTTATTTACTTAACAAACGTGTGTGGGTCAGGAGAGGGTGTGTTGCTGATGGCATGTTAAGGACTTTTCCAGTCTAACAGAAAAGGTAATAATTACAACCTTAACACTAGAAAAGAAGGTTGCCACAAAATAGAATTTCTGAAGCAATGTAAATCAGATGACCTATATTTTTTATCAAGACCAGATAATATTTGTGGTCCCGTTTTAAATTATCATGGGAGGAATGGGGATATAATTGAAGAAATGAACTAAAAGTTATGCTGTGTATTGAGAACCTACGTGTGGGGTGCTCTGTTTGGCTCTGGAGACACTAAAAGATAAATGGTAGTCCATTGGCCTCCTGGTAGCAATCTAAGGACACATGTGAACTGTATTAAAAGAAAAACACTTGGGGTGGCTGGGTGGCTCAGTCGGTTAAGGGTCTGACTTCGGCTTAGGTCACGAGCTCACGGTTCATGAATTCGAGCCCTGCATTGGGCTCTACTGGCAGTGTGGGGCCTGCTTGGGATTCATTCTCTCTCTCTCTCTCTCCCCCTCTCTCCCCCTCTCTCCCCCTTTCTCTCTCTCTCTCTGCCACTCCCCCACTTGCACTCTCTCAAAATAAATACATAAGCTTAAAAACACAACACTTAATGAGCATATAGTTTGGTGCTCAATGAGACAAAGAGGCAGTAAGTGCTCTGAGAGGCAGAGGGGGAATCCCTCCTTGATAGCTGCAGAGGTCAAGCATACACAGTTCACCAGTCATGCTGGCCTGGAAGGAAGGCACAGAGCTGAGAATGGAGAGGAAGCAGAGCAGGATACAAGGGGGGGCAGTGTCTTTGGGTAGTAAGCCCTGTTGAACTGGAGTAGAGCAGTAGATTGTGGATTGTATCGTACAGTTAATTTTTTAGATCATTGTTTTACAGACTGTACGTCGTGACCCGTTAGTGGGTGGTGAGATCAATTTAGAGGATCTAGTCCTCTGTTAAAAACAAATTTTAAAAAAGTGGAATGGAAGATGAGAATTTCATGTGTGGTGAAGATATTTGTTGATTTGTGAAACTTTTTCATATATACATACATGCATACATATATACATATATATACACACACACACACATATATATGGGGTCACAGTATAAAATGTATTTCTTATTATGGATCATACCCAAAAAATTTTGGAAAATACTGGACTAGAGATCAAGCCTCCCTAAAGCTATCTGATTATCTGTATCTCCCATTCGCACCCAACGCAGGGGCCTGTGTACTGGCATTTCTATCTGTTGAATAAATGGAAGGCCTTGCATGGATTCCAGCCCAAGAAGTTTACATTTTAACCTGTAGGCAGTAAAATTTGTTGAAGGTTTGTGAACAGAAGGTTGGGGGGCGGGGTGTTTTAGGAAGTTCATTTAGCAGCTATACATAGGATGTTTTGGAGAGTCCAGGCAGGGAGGAGGTAAGGAGTCCAGTTAGGAGACACTGCCTGGGCTTGGTGGCGTGTAGGACAGTCCTGGGATGGAAAGGTTGTGGCTATAATGGTGATTTGTTTTTAAGAAGTGAAAGGGATTTTTGTTTCTGGTTTCATGTAGTCCTCATTTTAGACTCATGCCACTCACAAAACTGTAGCTCATCTAATCCAGTCAATAAGCATTGACTCTGTGTGTGAAGCACTAGGTGTGGCTGCTGCATTATCACTTACTGGGGAGTTTCTCTATGGGGCACAAATTAGCTCTTGTTAGCAGCAGACTGATCTCAGGAAATGACTCCCATGAATGGGAATCCACCTGAATGCTGTAAGGATTTTATCAGGTCACAGCTCACTAAGTGCAGATCAGTTTTGATTCCGTTGGAACAGGGCACGTGAGCTCTTTGGAGATGATTGTTTTAGGGAGCAGAGCAAGAAAATAGAAATCAATGAGCCGGAGGCCTTCCCAGAGCAATGAGAGCTGTCTTTCCAGATTGGTTTTTATCCTTTGAGCCCCATTACCCTTTATTCTTACTTCTGTTTGTTTGTGTGACCTAGGAAGTGGCTCAGCTGGGGAGCAGCACGTCACAGCCACCACGGAACACAGCCATTCCTCTGCCTTCAGCACAGGACCAGTCTTTCCTGATCAACATCACCTTCTTGAAGGTTCTTCTCTGGTTGGTCTTGCTGGGATTGTTTGTGGAACTGGAATTTGGCCTGGCCTATTTTGTCCTCTCCTTGTTCTACTGGATGTATGTCGGGACACGAGGCCCCGAAGAGAGGAAAGAGGGAGAGAAGAGCGCCTACTCGGTATTCAACCCAGGCTGCGAAGCCATCCAGGGCACCCTGACAGCAGAGCAGTTGGAACGCGAGTTACAGTTTAGACCCCTCGAGGGGAGATAGGCCCTGCTCTCTTGCAGCTAGCCTCCCACATGGCTCCCTCATAGCCTCTGGACATGGGCTCGTGGGTTTGATTTCAAGTGCCCAAGACCTTATAAGAGCAGCTTGCAGGTTAGTTCTGTGGCTGTGAACTTCTGCATTCTTTCCCCAATCTTCTGCTGCGGTTTTATCATTGAACTTCTCTTTGGTTTTGGTGAAACCCCTTAAATGACACTCAGTGTGGATATGATGCCCTTTATAAAAAGTACATACTCAAAAAAGAGAGCTGTTTGTCTCATTATTTGAGAGAGGCACTTGTAAAGCAGTAGAAAGGGATTGGGGAGATAACTTTAAAACACCCAGCTGTTTGAAGGAATGGTGTGTTAAAATAAGTGTTCTCTTTAAGTCTTTTCGTATATGCTATAAAGCATTTTTTTTCCCCCTGAAAAATTTAAGTTGCACGTTTTTGTTTTCTGGTTTTTTTTGTTGCTGTTGATGATGTTTGTTTTTTCATTGTTTTTTGGTTTTTGTTTTGTGTTTTCTGCTTTAAATCTTGCTTTTTTTTTCAGTCATTAATGGTAATGAAAAATAAAACAGCTTCAAAATACCTGCTTTTCAGAAACAGATCCCCATTGCCCATCACCATCTTCCATTCTCCTCAGTTATTCTGCTCCCACTTAATGAAGGAAGATTAAGAGAAGACAGAGTCCTAAGTGACAGGTGAGGGGAGGTAGATTGGTAGATTTGGTAAGTGTTATTTATGATGAATTCAGCAAGAAAAAAATTCCTGAGTGTGTTCAGATGAGAGCTGTGGAAGTGGAACTCTAGACTTATTGGCTGTGTGGGTTGTTTCTTATATTCTGAGGGCTCTGGAGTAAGCAGTCCCTTTCTTTGCCTGTGGGCCTCTGGTGAGAAATTATGTAACTAGGGGTAACCAGACATGATTTCAGTCGTTCTTCCTCTTCCAGTACAAAGTCAGTGTTTGGGTTCATTAAAATTGGACCAAAGCAAACCATTAAATACTTTTTTTTTTATCGATCATACTGATGAGTAAGAGGAGTCTAGTTTTAAAGCAATACTTTTTTTCTGAAACTTTTAAAATTTTAAGAAATTACTGATTCCTCAGTAGGATTTGAACTTCAGAATTCAGTTATTCACTCATTCTGACAGTAACTTTAATATTTATGAGATATTCTTAAATAATGGATGCTTATTGCTGAATTTTTTTTTCTTTCTTGCCTGATTTGCTCACTATAGCCAAACCTTAGCTCCATTTAAATGTAACTTTTACTCATTGAATGCCAGCTCCCTGGTAGGCACTTGAGGGAAAAAGCAGACATATTCCCATTGCGCTGAGCATACAGTCTAGCTGGGAGGGGGATTGGGGGACAAAATAAAACAAGCAATAGCAATAATAGAGTGAGATGGGGTGCCTAGCTGGCTCAGTTGGAAGAGCATGCAACTCTTGACCTCAGGGTTATGAGTTCAAGCCCCACGTTGGGTATAGAGATTACTTTAAATAAATAATTTAAAAAAATAATAGAATGAGGTAAGTTTCAGTTTTAGGAGCGTACAGAGGGGATGTTCTCATGAAACACACTTTGTAGCCAACCACGTGTGTTCCAGTCCTTGCTGAAAATTCTTCCGATCTGAGGAGCAGCTTTGTCTAGCCCTTTGCTGACTGGCACTTTGGCTGTCCCTCAGAACCCTCACTTGACCAGAAGTTCTCTATAGCTAACGAAGAAGTACTTTCTTTCTTTTTTTTTTATTAAAAAAAAATTTATTTTTATTTTTTTTGAGAGAGAGACAGAGCATGAATGGGGGAGGGGCAGATAGGGAGACACAGAATCCAAAGCAGGTTCCAGGCTCTGAGCTGTCAGTGCAGAGCCCAACACAGGGCTTGAACTCACAAACCAAACCATAAGGTCATGACCTCAGCGGAAGTCAGACACACTGACTGAGCCACCCAGGTGCCCCACAAAGAAGTATTTTCTTCCGTGACTTCTGTCTCAGCTGGGCCTCCAGAAAGTATGGGAAACAGGTGAACCCCTATTAAACAGGCAAGGTTTGATCATATTTCAGATACATGATTTTGTTTCCAGATTTATTTTCTTCAGGCTTTCTTCATTTCCCTGGATATTTTACTTGGGCTTTGACATTTCATAAAAGCCAAATACAAGGAATATCCCTATTCAGAGACTCACTACAATGCCCCGCTCAATAAGCATTGTTCTAGGAAAGAATTCTCATTTTTCAAATGTGTAATTCAGGGGCTCCTGGGTGGCTCAGTAGGCTGAGTGTCCAACTTCGGCTCAGGTCATGAACTCGAGGATCATGAGTTCGAACCCTGCGTTGGGCTCTGTGCTAACAGCTCAGAGCCTGGAGCCAGCCTGCTTTGGATTCTCTCTCTCTCTCTCTCTCTGTTGCTCCCCCACTTGCTCTCTCTCTCTCTCAAAAATAAAGATTAAAAAATTTGTTTTAAAAATGTGTAATTCAAACTTTTACTTAAAACAAAGCACCTGTAACTCCAAATTGGGAACACATGATCCAATTAGCAATCTCAGCGAAGTGGAGACTCCGCTTGGCATAGAAGAGACTGAGCTTAGGAGTGGATCCCACTAGCATTCTTTAAAAATGTAGCTGTTTATAATGAGGTGGAGCTTGATTGCCTTAAGCCCATCTTTCATGGGATTTTCTGTGCACGATCTGTCACCTCTCCTTGCTCACCTCTCGCCAAAGGTTGCATGTAATGACAGCATTAACTTCTAGGAAAAGTGGGGTGTGAACCAATTAAATGCGTGGCAGGGGAGAGAGGAAAGGACAGTATGTATTTGCTGTTCTTATCAGACCATTAAGCTTTAGGTGCAGTCTTGATTTCCTGAATTTAGAAAGGCCTATTGATCTCAGAATTTCCACTCAGGGCCTGACCATTAGCTCAGCAAGCAGCTTCCATTAAAGGCTGCTTCTGTCACCAGGGAACTTGAAATCCCAGAGATGCATTCAGTCCCTATGATTGCTGTGTGCACTGTGCATAGGTGAGGTCATTTCTGTCCAAATCTTGCAAGTAAATTGGCTTTTGCTTCTATTCATATTGTCCCGTCTTGTCTACTCACAGAGACTGTTAAATGAACCTCTACTTGTAGGGCTGGAATGGACCCCAAAATGCTATCAGATGCATCCCCCTTGCCTTGGGCAAGGGCCGCATTTATTCCTGACCAAATATTTTTTTTTCCTGGTGACCCCTAAAGAAGAAGAATCCGGGTACAAGATTTAGGCACTTCTTAGGAAATTCTTAACCGAAAGACTTGACCCCCAATGCCACCGCAGGTTATTTTTTATCTAATCTCAGGGAACATGGAACATCCTCCAGACTGGTGAACTGTTACTCTGTTCTCGCTCAGGTTTCTCTGTTCTCCAGACTAAATCATCCGCATCGTACCTCTGGGACAATCACTTTCAAGCTAACCCTGACACATTCTGAGGGTTCCAGTTCAGGACAGAGGTGAATGTCACAGTTGGTGGGTACAATGACTTTTCTCAAAAGCTCTAGAGTTGTAACAGTGATGATCTGGGCATATGTATTTTGTGCTATTAGGATTGTACTTTGAGTCTAGGAGGTCTTTGACATTTGCCTTTTGACCGATCTCTGCTCATAAGCTCTGTGCTAAAATCAAAAGAATAAAAAATAAAGGAAGTTACACAATCGACAAAACCAATGATCGTCATCTGGGCAGAAGAAAGTGAAATTTTGTGTTTTGTTTCCTGCCACTCACACTGTTAACCAATATTTGTATTTAGGCTTGGCGCTGCTGGGGAACCCATAAGTGAGCTTGAGCAGACAGTCCATCCACCGTAAGAGCCAGGATACCTGGTGGGGCTGGGATGCCAATGAGCATCTTGCCACCAGGGGGTAGCATAGAGCTGCTGCTATACATCCTGGTGCCTTCTCCCCACACTTGGGAACTTATGTAATGTGGAAAACCCACCGGGATGTTTATCTGAACCATTTGTGCTGCTTTTTCTGATGTTCTTTTCACTTCAAGATTCACAAAGGAAAGGGCTCATCAAAGGTCCTGGAAAAGGCACGGAAAGCTACCAGGAGTGATTTATACCGATATTTTAAAATAAAACAACAACCCCCCCTCTAGACTTAGCAGGCAGTATTGCCCATCTGCCCATCTTTATCCATTTATCTATCAGTCTGTCTTCAGGTTTGGGTCATTTCTTATGAAGAGAATCAAAAGCCTAACATAGTATCAACTGTGGACGTTGGTGGAGCAACTAATCTTTTCTAGGCCAGGTGCCAGGCTCTGATGATCAGTTATCACATTGATAATGAAGGCAAGGTCCCTTTTCTTAAGGAGCTCACAATCAAATGGAAGGGGCAGCCAATAATCAGACAGTTACCACAGGATAGTGTGGTAAGTGCTATGAGAGTGTGCGGTCTAAATGAGGGCCAGAGCAGAGAAAAAGAGGTTTCAGAACCCTAGGGTCAAGAAGGGCCTCCTGAAGGTGATATTGTATTGAGTTTGAAAGAGCATCCGGTACTCCCCCAAAAACAGGGGCAAAAGGGCTTTTTAGTCACAGGAAACCACCTGGCAAAAAGGTGATAATCTGGAGGGAGAATTGCTTGCTTGGGAAAAAGTGATGCATTCTGAGAACGTATATTATTTTTTCCAACTGGTTGTTAACATATATATAAGCTATTGATTTTGGTGTATTAATTTTGTTATAGCTCTTGTCCTTTATTGAGTTTTCTTACTAATTATAATGGTGTTTTACTCGTTTTCCTGGATTTTCCATGTAGATAATGATTTTCTTTTCCATAAACATAAAATTTAACTCCTCTTTTTCCAGTTTTTTTTACCTCTTGTTTTTTCCTCTTTGTCTAATAACATTGGCTAGAACATCCAGAAAAATGTTAAATCAGAATGATAGTCAGTGATGTCTTTGTCTTGTTCTTGACCTTAATGAGCATGCTTTAGTATTTTCCCATTAAGCATGATGCTGTCTCTGGGATAAATGGAGAGATAATTATTCATCTGTATTTATGTTATTAAAAGGTTTTTTTTTCCTTCTTAAATTAAGAATGGATTTCACATTTCACAAAATCTCTTTCAGTGTAGTGGAGATTATATGACTTTTCTCTTTGACCAATTAATGTAATCAGTTATATATTTACACATATTAAACCATCCTTTTATTCCTGGAATGAGTGACCCTTGATTTTAATGTACTGTT